CAGTAGTGATACTCTCTGTTTCCCAAATATCTGTGTATTGTGTAATGATTCATGGCAAGCAACAAAAACCCCTCTCACACAGATGATCCCTTAGGTAATATGTGGTTAAGTGCTCTCTCTGTGGCCTCTGACATTTAAACATTTTCTCCACCCTGCAGCTATATCTGCCTCTAAACTCTCCAAGGCAGCCTTGACAGCTGGGTATTGCTCATTGTTTTTAAGACACTCACCTCAGTTCAGTCAGTGTGAGCCAGACAGTCGGTATTTTTTAAATGAAAGGGACTCTTTCCTATTTGTGTGTGAGTCAAACGATGAGTGTGCCTGCCGAGAAGGGGAAGGCAGGGGCCCACAGAAAGGGTGGTCCCGTGTTAATGCGGGCTAAGAGTCAGAAACGGTGTGTGTCGGGACAAGAGAGAGCTGTCTGTTTTTTAAGGGGCTCCATAAGGATACAGTGCAGCCAGTGTTCAGCAGGGCTCGGTGAGTTCGCTCTATCTCCGTTTTTGGGAGAGGAAAGTTTGGATTTGTTCAATGGGAATCGGGCCGTTGGAGTTTTCGCCGTGTCATTTCCTCAAAAGCCGTTCGGTGTGTATGTGTGCGAGCTCTGTTTAAGTTCATCCAAAGAGCTTGGCTGACGGTTCAGCAGTGGGCTTATCCTACTATGGTCTTAACAACGTTGGCTCAGAGTGTATGCGTGTCTGTTTGTGTGCGGTTGGATTAACCCACTGCTGTAACGGCCACATCGCAGAGGAAAAGCCTGTTTTCGTGCACACGTGTTGTGTTTTTACCCCCCCTTCATGCATGTTTGACTACTGGCTCAGCTACAAGTGTTGTTGTTTAGATTGGGATAAGCTGTGGGCTGCCACTACTGTAAGTCTGGTATTACATTGTTGCACACTGTGGCTTAAGCGGACATCTTTGGCATGGCAAATATGTGAAGTATGTAGGTGTTTGGTCTTTCTCTTGCCTTTTCCCTTCATCTCTTTCAGTCTTTGTGAAGATTTTGTTTTTCCAGGTACACGGCTTTACAGAACATTTCCTTGATATCTTTGGCCTTCTCTCGACAGCTCGGCTCTACTTTCCCATGCACTGTTTTGTGCGTGAGGCTGCTGTTGCCTGCAAGTTAGGTCTTGTGTAGTTTTATGTGTACTCTGCTGCTAAATGTTCATTACTGAGAACTGCCACCAGCAAAATGTTGCTTACCTACTACGTAAGCTCCCAGCAGAAGATGTTTGATTTGTGCATGAATGGAGCCAGGCTGGACCTCCTTAAAGAAGACTTTTGCAAAACAAAGCAGGGTCACTAGTTTCAATCTTGGCTAAAATTTTGAAACTAGTGCAGCTTTTGCTTTTTACTGTTCAGTCACACACCTGCAGGTGCAGATTCCCGATGGATCGTTGTTTAATGAAAAATAATTGCAATCCTGTCAAAGAGTGCTATAAATCTTTGTCCGGAGCATTATTCTGCTGTTGGACTTCCTGGTTTGGATTTCATTTTCTCACCTTAAACCACCTGATTATGAACGTGGTATATGTTGGATAGATGTCTCATAAGTTTGCAAGTTCAGTGAAGAGCAGGTTTTGCTGCTGCTTTAATTAAAAGCTGACTCTTCTGGGTGTGATTTAAGGAATTTATTTAATGCGGCTTAAACTATTACTTCAGAAAAATCTTTTTTCAGCTGTAAGGGAGGAACTGTAATGCAGTGTAGAAATTTACAGGGATGCCTTAGTGCCATCCGGGCTGAAAGGGTTTCCCGGTAAACAAAAGTGTGTCGCAACACAAATGATTTGCATGCTTTCCTCAGAGGGATCCAGGTAGCCTCTTATGTCTCAAACGAGCGTCTACACTGAGGGTGTTTTCACACCTGTTTGTTTACTCTGGTCCGAATCATTTGATGAGTTTGGAAACGTGTAGCTTTTCCCTGTGATTTGGTTTCTTTTTACACAGAGAAAAATCCAAGTGAACGCTGAGCAAACCACAACGTGTCATTACAGACCACGTGAGAATGTCCTGTCCGCTTATTGGCCAGATGTGTCTGGGAACAACAAATGTAAATACAGGAACAAGGTGCTGCGTTCTGGACAACTGGAAAATACTGAGAGTTTACATGCATTTCACATCTAGTTGCCGACTCATACTGACATTTGAACATCTACAGCTCCTCAACACATCCCAGTACAGAAGTATTTTTACCCAAACTTGTAGTGTCACACAGTACTCAGACTAACTGCACCAAGTGAGGAAATGAACTGCAGTTTGCTTTAAAAGGACTAAACAGGCAGGTGTGGAAACGCCCTAATGCTGATTTCCAGCTCCATATTTTCAGTGATGGACTCTGCGGGATCGACAGCTCGAAGCATGTTTCCACAACACTGCTTTGCATGTAAATTTGTTATGAAGTTCTTTAAACTCAGATACGCACAGAATCAACTGTAGGCGTTGGTCACAGCACGTCATGCGTGAGTACTCCTCACCAATGAGCTTATGCTGCGCTAAGCTCAGTAATAGGATAGATAGGTTTCAGAGTGTAGTAGGTGCTGCTTCCTATGTGAAAAGGCCTTTATGCACTCAGTCTAACTTGTTTAAAGCTAGCTGTTTTAGCTCCCTTGCCCTTCCTTTAAAGATACTTTCTTTTGATTGGTTGTAGGGCTGCCACAAACGATTATTTTGATAGTCGACTAGTCACCGATTATTTTTGCG